AAAGAGAGAACTGTAATCACAAGCTGACTAGACTATCATGTAAAGCCTTGGATGATAGAATAAATAATGATAGCTCAAGTTTATTAAGTACTTTACTTGAGATAGTACTTTCACACATACGTTACTTTGTTCAGTCCTTACAACAACCTTGTGAGGTACATTGTATAGATACTGTCCTCACTTTAGAAATTAAGTGACTATGTGATGGCAGACCAAAATTTGAATGAGGTCTTCAGTTCTGGGGCTCTTGACTATCTTAAAATACTACCAATTCGTGTCAGACTTAAGATTTTTAGGCTCGTGGATTTAGAACCAGAAGGGATGTTAGGGGTCATATAGTTCAGACCTTTCATTTTACAGATGAGAAACTGAGGTCCACACAGAATAAGCAGTAGAGCCAAAATTGAAGCCCAGATCTTCTGACTCTGGAAATAGCAGTCTTTTCACTGTTCCGTGATACTTCTTCTGTAAATGCATACTTATAAACTTTCTAAAAAATTACGAATTTGACAAACATGAATTTTCCATGTACGAGGAACAGAAAAAGAGAAGTATGTATTAAACTGAATCTTCTTTATGTAGCACCCTTGGATTACTTTGGAGTTACTTCCCCAATTACCACTTGTGTTGGTCAGCACCTCGAGTGCTCAGACTTTTTCCTTTTAGAGTTCTAGGTATGGATACCACCAGGGGCTAGAACTCTTCCCCCAACCATGGACTTTCCATTGAATAAGAGCCAGGCTTAATTACCTTTAGAAATGGCACTTACTAAGCACATAGTAACACAAAGACAATCTCTCAAAAGACTGGGGCACTCCTAAATACACAGAATATCCGGAGTTGGAGAGAATAGACACACACTTTAAATACAACAGTGATGAGATACATGTGTCAGAGAATACACATAAATTATGTGAATATAATGGAATACTATTGTGCCTTATGTAATGAAAAGGACATTTTTTGAGAAATCTGGGAATGCATGTATGTAAACTAGTATGTAAATGTAAAAACTAGAATGAACTTGTATACAGAGTGAAGTGGGCATATCAGGAGAACAATTTATGCAATAAATTTGTAAAGATAAACAACTTTGAAAGACTTAAATCTGATCAGTGACCAGCTATGATTACTGAGGACTGATGATGACCTACGAGTATGATGATGAACCTTACTCCTGACAGAGAGGTGATATACTCAAGATGCAGAATGAAACATATTTTTGGATGTGACCAATTGTTTTTTCTTGCCTATATATATTTGTTAAAAGGGTGCACTTTTTCTTTTCTTTTTTTCAGCGAGGGAGGGGAAGGAGAGAAGAGAAAAAAATTTTGTTAATTGAAAAATTAAAAAGAACACAAGGCAAAAGGACAACTCAGATTTCTTGGTTACTGGAAATCTTTGTGATGTCCTCATGAAGTTCCCTTTAGGTATAAGTTATTTTCTGGGTTTTTCTTAGAGTGCTGAAGCTGCTTTTCCTCAATATGTCTAGTTAGTGTCTCAGTTCATAATGTAGGTGTTGCCAGTTACAGTCTGGGAGATTGCTACTGTCATTGGTTGTCTTCCTAAGTATTAAATTTAGCGTGGTAGTACTGACACTCTCTGACTTGTCTGTCCATCTTGGAACTTCCTTCTGTTTTCTTCTGTGTATTGTGAAACTCAAAAAATTATTACTTTTAACTCTGGAAGTTAGCATGTATTTTAAATTTTAACTTTGCAACATTTCTGCATGTGTCCTCTTTTCTCCTCTGACACTGCCACCATTGTGGTGTAGGCCCTTATCACCTCACACCTGTACTATTGCAATAGCCTGCTAATGGGTTTGCCTGCCTGAAGTTGTGGGCCCCCAAATGTCCAGTCTACAATAAAAAAAACTGAGTCAGAGCTCTGAGCCAATAACCATTTATTTAAAGGACCTGGCCTCCTTTACTGAATATAGGACCTCAGATCTTCCTCATGATCTGAGATGCCCCCTTTCTCTAGGATCTTGATTTTATAGTATTTGATAAGATGATACAGAGATGGTATAGAGTAAAATACAGAATCTCATTGGTTGACAAACCTATACCTTGACCCTCCAGGAGGACCTACAGTTCAGTCTAGGGTCAATGAGCTCATGGCTGATAGTAATAATCATAGGATGGGCAAGGCAAGGGTCATCCATTGGTTAAGTGGCCACGTCCATTTCCCCATATTGGACAATAGAGGAACAGAAGGACAAAAATAAGTGGAGAGGGGCTTTCCACATTATTAAGTTATCTCCACCATGCGGGCTCATCTCTACTACGCCTCGGCTCGGTGACTATGAAGGCATTTTTCACTTCCAAGGAACCAAAAAAAGAAAACGGTGGAGATCTTCTGGTTCACTTCCTTTGGTTAAGCAAGTGAACTTCCATTCAGCTCTGGAGCCCAATATACAGAACTTTTATAATGTAAGAGTATAAAAAAGAATCTGTCTAACCTTTTCTAATTGTCTCTAAGCATATGTAAAATATGTACTAATATTAATTGACTTGACTGGCCAAATGTATATTACTAAATGTATGTCAATAGACAAGTATAATAAAAGTAACCGCTACCCCTATGGAATCACACTTAATTGAATAATAATGATTGAAATAAATTAGGGGTTAAATTAATCATTTGACACAGAGTCTCTCCCCACTCTAATCCATCCTTCATTTGGTTACCAAAGTGATTTTCCTAAAGCACAGGTCTGTCCATGTCACTTACTCCTTTTCCCCTCCTCTGTAAACTCCAGTGGTTCCCTGTTGTCTCCAGGATCAAATAAAAAAATGCTCTGTTTGGCATTCAAAATCTTTTATAACCTAGCCCCCTCCTAACTTTCCAGTCTTCTTATATTTTCCTCTACTAACTGATTCAGTGACACTGGCCTCTGGGTTGTTTCAGGAACAACAGAACAAGACCGCCCTTGGCTATCTGTGGCTATTTTTCATACTCCCTCCTCAGCTCTCCCTACTGACTTCTAGTTGCTCATAGAGTTCACAATACAATGGGAAGGGAGATAACATGTAAACAAGTACATATAAACATGCTGTGTATAGAATAAGTAGAAAATAATCCCATCTTCAACAGGAAGCTTTTCCCAACCCTTCTTAATCCTAGAGCCTTCCCTTTGTTAATTATTTTATATTTATCCTATGTATTTAGCTTGTTTGTATGTATTTGTTTGCATGTTATCTCCCTTCTCATTGTATTGTGAGCTCCTTCAGGACCTAGACTGTCTTTTGCCTCCTTTTGTATCCTCAGTGCTTAGCACAGCTCCTGGCACATAGTAGGAGCTTAATAAATGTTTATTGATTGATTTGCCAATCTGATGAGTGTGAGGCAGAACCTCAGAGTAGCTTTAATTTGCACTTCTCTAATTACTAGTGATTTGGAGCATTTTATCGTATGTCTGTAGGTAGCATGAATGTTTTCCTTTGAAAACTTTGACTCTCCTTTGACTGTCAATTGGAGAATGACTTTTATTCTTAAAAATTTGAATCACTTCCTTATATATCTAGGAAATGATGCCTGTATCTGAAACTTTGATTTTATGTAGTCGATATTGTCCGTTTTCATCCCCTGTAATCTTTTCTATCCCATGTTAGGTCACTATCTCTTAAGCCTATCTATAGATCTTTTAATTGGTTTTCAGTTTCATTTACCTGCATTTATTTTATTGTTATGCTTAATGCTTCTACTTTTGTGAACCGTATTGGTTAATGAAATATATTTGCCTAAGAGTCCAGTCAGTCAGCTGTATGCTTAGAATGTGTTAATCTTGATGTAAGGTATACAGAGGTAGTTATAAAACATAGTAAAAGTCTGGAAAGCTTTTCCAGTTTTGGAGTTGTTGTTATTGTGCATCTTCGTGCTCTGAACAGTTCTGATAAAGTTAAAGTTTCTTGAGGGCAGGAACTGTTTCCTTTTTTTTTTTTTTGTATGCCCAAATCCTGATACTATGTATGTTGGAGGTGCTTGTTGAAATGAATTGGATTGAGTTCACATTTCATCTACCATTTCAAAACAGTTGTGAATCAACTTTTGCCTCAACTCAGTAACTTAGTTCCCCCAAATTTTCTATCGAAATATGTTAGGTAGATGCAAAAGTAATTTAAAATATTAAATCTGATTAGAATTTAAGATGCTTATTGTGAAAAGGAAAAAAAGGATCTATTTAAAAGTAATTTTTAGCTAGCTCTTAGGAAAGAGAGCAGTAAGAGGCACTACTGGAAAAACCATTAGATTTTGTATCAGAGGATTCAGATTCAGATTCCTTTGACACTACTTGTTTGACCTCATACATTCATTTAACCTCAGTATACCTCATTTGTTTATCTACAAAATGAACAGATTAGACTAGGTTACTTCTAAGGTCCCATTCACCAAGTCTTTTGAGCTCTGAGAGGTGAAAATAGGGAGTGTATTGTTAGTACAGATTATAAAGGTGCTTATACATCCTAAGGTACTTCTTTAACTTTGAATTGCTTATATGCCAGGAAAAATGTTCAAATCTTAAATCACTATAGTAACTTTAAAGGAGAATGTTTCAAAGTGACTGGTAAATCCCATAACCTGGGTCAGGAAGGGAAGTCTCAAAAAAGATTAACAAGGCTTGACTCTTAATTCAACCATCATTCACTAGTTTGAAATGCTTCATGTTTGTTTTAGTACATAAGACTTTGGAAAGGATTGTAGAGCTCCTAGTGAGAAATTGATTTGTACATATTTAGTAGGAAAAGTTACTGTAGTATTCATTTAATACTTCCTAATTCAATATTCTAAAAAAAAAAGTATTGAGTAGAGAGAGACTTTAATCCAGAGACAATACTGGCTTTTGTTCCTTTAAAATATGTTTTGAGAACACTGAGTTTTTTTGTTAGTTTGTTTTTGGAAACCAGTTGACTTAAATTGTAGAGCCCCAAAGATTGCTCTTGTTTGCTACTTAAGAAAATATAGATTGTACATGACCTACTTTTTTCTTTTTTTTTCAGCTGTGTCCAAAATTTTTGCATACAAATTCCACCAGTCATACATGGCCTTTCAGCGCAGTTGCTGAACTGATAGGTATGTAACTTGCAATTTTAGTAATAGATTGTTTTTTACCTGTTTAACAAAAGAAATTATACATGTTTATATAGTATGGGTTTAAATACATGAATTTTTACTTAAGAGCTCATGGAATGATTCATAAATGAGGAGACTGAAAACTCAACTTGAAATGATGTTACATGAAGACACAGTGGGATAAATAAATTTGTTTCTTCTCAGTACAAGATTGTTGCCATCTAGGGAAAAGGTTCCAAGACTAGTCGTTTTCCATTATTGACTTAAACTATGAGCTTATTACAGTGCAGCAAAATTCTTTACTCAAGACAGACTTCATGAAAGCTTCATTTACATACATATGTATAGTTTGAAGATTGATTCATTTTTACCGAAAGTCTGTATAGGAAATGCTTCTCATTTCTAAATAGCTATCCTTCTGGTGATAAGAGAAGTATGTTAGCTTTATGATAGGAAAAATAATAAATTCTTGCTCAGTTCAATAGGCATTAGGATGAGTCATAGTAATGATTGGGAAGCCACAAGACTTTACATGCCTTTTCATGAATATGGAAAGGGCAAAAGACGATTGTGAACAAGTTCACTCTGTAAAGCTATGATTTCTCCTAGGATTTTCCCTTAAGCCAGTCTGAGGTCAATAAAGTAGATGGACACACAAATGTGTGTAGAATTTTGTAAATATTTGGGAACTAGTGATCATAAAAAGCAAAATAAAAATGGTATCGAATTCCCCAGTGGCTTGCCATCACCTTAATCAGAAAGGGTACTGTTTCAAGGGTGGAAAGGTATTTCACCTCTCTCCTATGTTCTTTTTTTTTTTAAATTAATTTATCTTTAGTTTTCAACATCTATGTTCTTTTACACAGCTGGATTTACTGAAGATACTGCAGTTGTACTTGCACTGTCACTGAACCCTTACTGATGAATGTGCTCATCTCACTGAGGTTGAAATTGCCATAACAATATAAACACATATATACTGCACAGTCCCTTTAAAAGAAATATATAACCTCTAAATATTTAAAATTATAGTAAGAATGCCAATAAAGGACCAAAAGATTTAGGGTTAGGGTTAGATTATTAGTTCCCTCACTGCAGCAAGACAGTCCTTTTACTCTTCCCTAATTGATTATCCTGTTCTGCACAGAAGCCGTTCAGAACCTTCTCTCTTTTCCTCATCACTCTTCCCCTCATCTTCTTAGCTGAGGACCTCACCTCATATTTTGCAGATTAAATAGAGGCCATTCATCATGTCCTTCCCGTTCTCCTCTTGCCTGTATTTCTAAACCCTTTTATTCCTCTATTCTTTCTTTCCACTAGTCTCTGATGAAGAGGTAACCCTCCTACTTGCTCAGGCCAGTCCTCTACACGGGCACTCGATCCCAAATTCCTTGTCTTCTCCAGATTGCTCCCTCAGTCATCACTCTCTTCTGCTTATAAACATGCCCATTGTTAAAAAAAACCTTCACTTGATCATCTCCTTTAGCTGTTAAAATCGTTATTCCGTTTCACAACCAAACTTCTAGAAAAAAGCAAATACCCTTGTTGCCTTTACTTCCTTTACTTTCATCTCTAAAAGCTTTGCATTCTGGCTTCTGACTTCCTCATTCAGGTGGAACTGTTCTTTCCAAAGTTGTCAGTAACATTTGTAAAAACAGGCCGATTGGATTAGTCTGCCTCTGAGGTGCCCATGGCCATAAATCGATGATCTTCTTACCTCAGTTACCAAATCTATTGACACTCCTCCCGCCCCCCCCCCTTCCTCTTTCTTGACTACCCTGCAGCATTCAACACTTGTTGACTGCCCTATCCTGAATACTTGCTCTTTTCTAGGTCTTTGTGATACTACATTATCTTGAATTTCCTTCAAAGTGGTTGTTCTTTTGTTCAACTTCTCCTGTTCTCTTCTGGGTCCTTCTCTCTCTGTTCTTTTATTTGGTGACCTCATTAGCTCCCATGGGTATTATTGTCATCTCTATGCCGATTACTCACAAATCTATAAATGGCTAGACCTTGTCTGTCCCCTGAGCCCCAATTTTATATCTCTGACTACTTGTTGGAAATTTCAACTTGTATGTCCAGTGGACATTTGCAATTGAACTTGTCTAAAATAAAACCCCCCAATTCATTCCTGTCAAATTTTCATATTTCTGTTGAGAATAGCATCATCCTTCTAGGTTTCCATCATCCATAACTCTTCATTCTGTCTCACCAGATTAGTTGCTGTTTCTATCTTCATAACATCTCTTGAATCTAACCTCCTCTTTCCCTATTTACACGGCTATCATACTAGTTCAGATCCTTATAATCTGGACTATTACAATAACTTCCTAACTGGTTTTCCTACGTCAAGTCTCTGCCTTCTTCCACTATTCCCCCCCCCCTTTTTTTTTTGTGAGGCAGTTGGGATTGAGTGATTTGCCCGTAGTCACACAGCTAGTAAGTGTTACATGTCTGAGGCTGGACTTGAACTCAGGTCCTCTTGACTCGATGGCCAGTGCTCTATCCGTTGCTCCACCTAGCTGCCCCACAGAGTGATATTCCTAAAGCACACTTCTGACCACGTTACTCCTTTACTAGTCAAACCACATATAAATTCATTTTGGGAATGATACCAGTGAGCTGCAGCATGTCCATTGTGAGTGCAGCTGTGTGGTGCAGTGGAGGGAGTACTGGGCCTGGAAGCAGGAAGACTTGAGTTCAAATTCATCTTCAGATGCTTACTAGTTGTGTTACTAGGAGCAAGTCATTTAACCTCTGTTTGCCTCAGTTTCCTCATCTGTAAAATGGGGATAATAATAGCACCTATGTCCCAGGGTTGTTGTGAGGCTTAAATGAAATAGTTATTGTGAAGCACTGGCACATAGTAAGTGCTATATAAATGTTATAGTTATTATTAAATTCTAAATGCTCCCTATTGCCTCTAGGATCAAGTATAATAGATTCCTCTTTGACATTTAAAGCCCTTTATCACCATATCCCAGCTTTCTACCTTTAATCATGCATTCATGTCCTTCCTTCACTCTGCAGTCCAGCCAGACTGGTCTTCTTGCTGTTCCTAAGATACAGCATTCTATGTCCTGTCTCTTTGCCTTTGTATTATCTTTCCAACATGCCTGGAAGAGTGCACAGTGCTTTATCATCACTGCCTTATAGAATTCCTAGTTTCCATCAACACTAAGCTCAAGTGTCATCTCCTACATGAAGTCTTTGTAGATTTTTCTTCTATTCCACAGCTGCTAGTGCCCTTCGTATCACAAATTACCTCGTATTGAATTTGTACTTACTTGTGGACATATTGTCTCCCCAGATAGAATGCAAGCTTCTTCTTTTTTTAAATAGTATTTTATTTTTTCCCAATTATATGTAAATATAGTTTTCAACATTCATTTTTGTAAAATTTTGAGTTCCAAATTTTTGGCCCCCACCTCCCTTCCCCAAGAGAGCAAGCAATCTATCGGTATACATGTATAGGTTATACATGTACATTCATGTTAAACATTTCCACATTAGTCATGTTGTGAAATCAGAGCAAGAAAGGAAAAACCATGAGAAAGAAAACAAAAAAAAAAAGCGAAAAAAATATGCTTTGATCTGCATTCAGAGGCTGTAGTTTTATCTCTGGATATAGATAGCATCATGAGTCTTTTGGAATTGTCTTGAATCACTGTATTGCTTAGAAGAGCTAAGTCTATCAATAAAGTTAGTCATCACACAATGTTGCTGTTCCCGTGTAAAATGTTCTGGTTCTGCTCACTTCATTCAGCGTCAGTTTATTTAAGTCCTTCCAGGTTTTTCTGAAATCTGCCTGCTCATCATTTTTTATAGCCCAGTAGTATTCCATTACATTCATATACCACAACTTGTTCAGCCATTTCCCAATTGATGGGCATCCCCTCAATTTCCAATTCTTTGCCCCACCACAAGAAGAGCTGCTATAAATATTTTTGTGCATGTGTGTCCTTTTCCCTTTTTTATGATCTGTTTGGGATACAGACTTAGTGGTATTGCCAGATCAAAGGGTATGCACAGTTTTATAGCCCTTTGGGCATAGTTCCAAATTGCTCTCCAAAATGGTTGAATCAGTTCACAACTCCACCAGCAATGCACTGGTGTTTCACTTTTCCCACATCTTCTCCAACATTTATCACTTTCCTTTTCTGTCGTATTAGCCAATGGCATGATATCCCCCCTCCTTACCATTTTTGGTTGCCCACTTAGGACATAGTGTAGCTTGTTAATTTCCATCCCAAAATGTGGTGCCCAAAACCGAACACAGTATTTGTGGTTTGACTAGAGGATTGTTGAACTCTCTTATCACCGTCATTCTTGACTTTCATGTCACACTTTTAATTGATCTTGAGCTTTGTGTCCACTGAGACCTCAAGTATTTTATAGTTAGCTGTTCACAAGTACTTGAGAACTTGATTTTTTGAAATCAATTTGAATTTTACAGTTTTCTCTTACCATATTTTCTCTTAGAACTTCTTTGGATTCAGACTTTGTGATCCAAAATGTTAACTGTCTTTCTGTTTTTTGGTCCTGCAGTTATGCCTTCATTAAATCATTGCTAAAAATGTTAACCTGTTTATGGCCAAGGCCTGATCACTTGGACACTCCACTAGAGACCTCCTTCCAAGACGTAAAAAAACTTATATATTTTTATTCTAAATTTAATGTATACTAAAAAAAAGAATGTTTTCATATACAGAGTAGAACTGAAAAAGGGTTATTTGTAAAAACTTAAATTTTTATTTTGTACCATTTACTTTTTTTAAAAAGCATATAATAAATTTAACATTACTTTCAAAGCTGTCCTGCTTATCGGTTTCCTTCTGAATTTCAGTTCTCTGCTGTGTATTTCAGAAAGTGCTTCAATGATCGTATTATAATATTTCTTTCTTTCTTTTTTGGTTACCTTATCTCTAGCTTTTTCCCCACTTCTCCCTCCTTCCACACTCAAAAAGAAAAAAAACTATCCTCGTAACAACAATCAAGTGAAACGCTCAGATTTGCCATGTCCAAAAAAATGTATACCTCATTCTACACCCTGAGTTCATCTCCTTATGCTGCCTTATTAGCCCTCTGGAGTTATTTGGTCATTGCATTAATGAGAGGTCTTAAGGCTTTCAAAGTTCTTTTTCTTTGTAATGTGTTTGTTACTGTATATGCTGCTTTTCTGATTCTACTCATTTCACTCTGCATCAGTTCATGCAAGCCTTCCCAGCTTCCTACCTCTTGTCATTCTTATGGTGCAGTAATATTCCATGACATTTATATACTTTAATTTTTTTCAGCCTTTCCATAGTTGATGGGTACTTCCTTTGTTTCCAGGACTTCTACAACAAAAAGTGTTGTTGTAAATATTTTTATATGTATGAGTCTTTTTCCTCCTTTATCTCTTTGAGGTTATAAGACTAATTAGTGGTATCACTGGGACACAGGTTATGCATAGAAGAGGTGTTGGACTCTGTGCAGAATAAGAAGTAAACTTTTTGGACATGGATAATGCAGGGATTTGTTTTGCTTGACAGTGCATATTTTTTAACTGCTTAGAGGCATCTAGGTGTTAAAGTGAATAGAGTGGTAGGCCTGAACTCAGGAATACCTAAGTTCAGATCCTCAGACCTAGCTGTGTGATCCTGGGCAAGTCATTTAACTTCTATCTGCCTTATTTTCCTTATGATGTAAAATGGTAGTAATAATAATGGCACCCTCCTCCCAGGGTTGTTAGAAGAGTCAAATGAGATAATAGTTGCAAAGCATTTTGCAAATTTAAAGCTATATATAAATGTTAGTTATTATTATTGTTAGAATTTTCTTTTTCTTTTTTCCATTGACTGGGGAGATGGGTGGTAGAGAAAAATAATTTTAAAAAATTTAAAAAGCAAACAAAACAATGACTATGTACAGTTTAGTGACTTTGAGGGCATCGCTCCATGTTGCTTTCCAGAGTAGCTATACCAATTCACAGTTCCTTAATGTACCTGTTTTCTCTTAGCTCATCCAAAAACTGTCATTTTCAGTTTTGTCGTCTTTGCTAATCTGTATATGAATACAGAGCTGTTTTAATTCGTCATTAAGGACTTTTTGCATCTGGTGAGTCTGACAGTTTCACATCCATTTTATTGATCTAATCCACATCTCTCTATTTTGGCCATAAGGTTAGCTTAAGCAGCATTCCTGATCTACCAGTTTAGGATTATGGGATGATAGAGTTGGAAGGCATTTCAAAGATCATCTAGTCCCACTCCCTCATTTTAGGGGTGAGGAAACTGAAACCTAGTAAGATTAAATGACTTGTTGAGGGTCACAAAAGTAGTAACTAGTAGAGTTAGGATTTGAACCCATGTCCTCTAACCCAAGATTCAGCCTCCTTTCCCTTGTGGCCTGCTTCCCTGTCAGAAAAGTAAATGCACTTATTTTGTCATGACCTGTTTCTGATGAAACTTTTTTGAACTTTGATGATCACTGCTTCCTTTTCTAAAATACTCAGAAATAACCCCTTTAATAATGTATTTAGAATTTTGCCAGGAAATTTAGCACAGTGACTTAGAATTTTTCGGCATTTTTCTTCTTTACCTTTTTGCAGATAAGAACATTTGCCCTTTTCTAGTCCTGCTTTTCTCCAACATCTTTCAAAAGTTCAATCATAGTAGCTGAACAGTTACAGCATCTAGTTTATTCAGAACTATGATCCAGTTCCTTTAGACTGGTGGTGTCAGACTCAAATAAAAATGGGGGACACCAAACCATATGTAGAGGTTCCTGCTGGTTGCATATTGATTTAGAAAATGACATATTAATATTATCTTTTCTATTGTATATTTATTTTTATTTTTTAACTATTTCCTAGTTACATTTTAATCTGGTTTAGGGGCAAGGAGTGCTGACCATGTGTTTGATACCTCTACTTTAGACTTAGACTTCAGCTCATTGAGAGACCTTGCTTTCTCAGGTTGACCAATGATTTCCTGCTAAGATTTAGTGCTAAGGTACCAATAACCAATACTCAATTGCTTTCTAAATAGGATTAGATTTCACAAAGCACCTGTGGATTGTTATATTTATTGGAGTACAGAAAGTTTCTGCTTCTTAAGATAGTTCAGTTTCTGCCTCTGTGGCAGGGGGGTTCTTAACCTTTTTTGTGTCATGACAGTCTGATGAATTTGTTGTCTACATTCGTAATTGAAGGAAATGCTAAATTTCATTTAGGGCCTAGAGAAAATAAAAGATTTTTCCTCCCTTTCCAAGTTCATGCACCCCTTGAAAACTGTCCATGGTCCCTATCCACGTTCCCAAATTAACAACCCTCCTCTCTGGGGATCAAACAATTAACAAGTCATACACTGTATGAAGGGCTGGATATATAAATGTGGGGCAATCCTTTTAGGAGGCTTATATTCTGTAACATATGTATAACATATGGCCTGTGAGGCCAAACTGGCCCTCGGGTGGTATGTTGTGCAAGCCTGTTTTACATTCTCTGCATTTTTTGTGGGCCGCCTGAACTCCTTTCATGGTGCCCTCGGGCTGAATGTTGTGCAGACATATTCTACAGGAAGAGCAATTATATCTATTACTTAGCTATAGATGTAGTAGGGACCTTCTTCCCTTCCTTTTTTACATATTATTCTTCCTAACTCCAGCCATCTCAATACTGATTAGGATTTTCTCTGTCTCTTCATATCCTTTTTTGTTTTTCAGATAGTACCAGTTTTTTCTCTCTTATAATTTGAAGAGTAGAAGGTTTATTTCCATTTTTTTGCTTTCTCTTTTAGGACAGATATTGATTTACACTTTGTGCACATCATGAAGCTGTTACGATATTAAGAAGCATAAACAGCACACTTTGCAAATCAATGAAAAATTCTTTTTGCTCTTTAACTTGCACTTTTTATTTTTGGAAGTGCCATCCTTAGTCCTTCATCTTCTATTTTGTTGCTGTCTTAGATAATCCTTAAGTATGTGTCATTTGTGAAACTGCTTTTTGGCAACAATTTTTGTCTAGGCTAGGACTCCTTACCTTTTCTCTAGTGAACTATATGCTGAGGAACCTTAGATCATCAATTAGTACATTCTTGTTAAGCAGTATGGCGGAGGTTTTGAACCTGGGATCTATCTATAAACCTAAAAAAAGTTGATAACCATATTTCAATATTGTTATTTTCTTTTGTAGTTTTAAATATTTTAAGACATTATTCTGAGAAAGGGTCCATAGGCTTCACTAGATTGTCATAGTGACATAATGTCATAAAGACTGTTCATGTCATAAAAAAAGGTTAAGAATCCCAGACCTAAGACAAACTGCTCAGTGAAGGTGAAGCCAGTCTCCACTTGGAGCTATTAAATGGAGTCTAGTAATCTTGTTTCTTCTTTCTATGACTTTTATATTTTTCTCTCAGAAGTTAAAATTTTATACCAGTTACCTGTATTTTGTTATTTATTTTTCTTACTATCAGAGACAGTTGTAGAAGGGTGAAAAACTAATAGATTACTCATAATTTGAGTAATTGTACTATGAGTTGTTTGGGGTCTTGTTTTTGTAATTTGTTGAAAAATCACCATTAAATATGAAAAATAACAGTTGCCAACTTCCTTTATTGCTTTACCTCTGCCCATATCCTTTTCACAAAAGTATAAATTGTCAGATGATCAAGTCTAACACTTCAAGGGTTGAAATATTCTTGTACCACTGCTTTGGTTTAGTTACTCATATTAAGCTTCTGATTCAAAGCAACTATTGTCCACTATCAAAATTCACCTTTAATACATTTTAAATATAACAGGAATTTTGCTGTAATCAATATTTAATGTAAAGTTATTGTAGAAACTGTGTTAGCTAAAGATTACATGTCATACATTTCTGGAAATTGCAGCATTCTAAACTTTTTAATTAGTAATCTCTTTCTTATATTAAATTAATACTCTTTTAAACCAGTGTCTGTTTGAAGTGTCTTAACCAACTGTTGCATTCAGGTACAAAAAAGCAACCGTGAATTGCTTGATAGAAAATAAGACTTTCTTTTTGGTGATTCTTAGATAATGCTTATGATCCTGATGTGAATGCTAAACAGATATGGATTGATAAGACTGTTATAAATGACAACATATGCTTGACATTTACTGACAATGGAAATGGCATGACTTCAGAAAAGTTACATAAAATGCTAAGGTATGTAAAAATGTGTATAGTTCCTTGAAACTGTTACTTCATGTGTTTTGTTTCTTGGCTTGAAGATTGTATTTTTTGTTTCAAAGTGTGATGCAAAATCCATAAATGTGACAGTTTGCTTTGTGACCTATTTCAGTGATGTTGATTACTCCTGAAGAGGGGGGGGAAATTTCCCTCTTCAGAATTCCTTTCTTTTCCTTCACTGATATTTTTGTGTCATTCCTCGGGTTAAGGTTGTAGATAGCCGTGGAGTAGTAGAGCTGTTACCACGTTCTTAACTAAGTTTTTGTTAACTAAGTTTTAACTAAGTTTTTGCTAACTGAGAGCAGATTTTGATGGGAGAATGGCAAACAGAAGGCAGGTAGGTCTCGGGAAAAGATCCCTTGAGGAAGCAAAGAATTTGTAGGATGACCAAACCTGGTTGCTGTAGTTTCTATCTGACTTTTGTATTCAGAATATATTATCGGAGGCTACTTTATTAGATCAGATTACAGTGTTTGAAGAGATCAGACACCTAAAGATTATTGTTTTTTCTTGCCTTCTGATGGCATAGTTTTACTATAGTAAAGATCATGTTTTTGAATCATCTTTTAGTAAGCTGATGAAATGTAAAACATTTCATGAATAGTTCTTGAATTATGAAACTTATTTTTTTATTTTGATCACTTGCTTGCTGTCTGAGACATACTTTGAGAACTTGTGAACAAGTGCATATTATACATAAATGTATAAAGTCTTAGATATTTGCCAGATCTATCCACTTCATTATTTTTCTCTGATTATAGGTGAGAAGGGATATTTTGTGGGAAATCACATTTTTTTACAATATAAATCTCAGTGAAAAGATAGCATGGTTAACTTTGGAATATGCTCATTTGGGGAGACCCATAAACTTGAGGGGAGAATCATAGTGGAAAAAAAGTAGAAATGCAAAGAGAAGTAAAGTTTTAGGGGTAGTCTACAAAATACCAGAACAGAATGGGGTATTACAGGAGGCATTTGGATTTGGATGACTTACCTGGAAACATGAATTTAGCGCTTTCAACAATATAGAAATCTACTGGAACTCCCTGGTTAAAGGACATGGAGATAGTTAACCTGGGGAAAAGAAGACTTATGGAGAAATAATAATAATAATGTTTTTGTAGCTCTTACTATGTATCAGGCACTGTGTTAAACACTTTACAATTATTTTGTTTCATCCTCCATAAAACCCTGGAAGGTAGGTCCTATCATTCTCTCCATTTTATACTTTAGGAAACTGGGGCAAACAGAAGTTAAATGACTTGCCCAGGGTTACATAGCTATTAAGTGTCTGAAGCTGGATTTGAATTCGGGTCTTTTGACTCTAGGCCTATCAGTCTTTCCACTGTGCTCTATTCATATGAAACTTTACACGTTCTTCGTCTCTTACCTCTGTACTAAATGGAGGGAACTGTGTTTCATCATTTATTCTCTGAGAACATGACTGATTATCCCTTCTAGTCAGAGTTGTACTTCCTTTTAGTTTATTTTTCATTTACTTTATGATAATCATAGTGTATATTGTTCTCCTGGTTCCTTTTTTCCTTGCTCACATAAATTCATATAAATATTTGGTTGAATTCTTTATTGTTTCTTACAGTGCATTCATCTAATTGCTCTTTCAGAATATTTTTCTGTATCCTCAAAGGACATCAAAGGTAGATGGAAATGTGTAGCAGGACTTTCTCTCATAGCAAAGAACTGGAAACAAAAATCAGTTAGGCAATGAATATAACATAATATTTTCACTTATGTAATGATTAATAGGCTGAATTCACAACTATTGAAAGACCTATGAAATGATGCATTGTGAAGTGAGAAGAACCAGGGAAACTGTTTACATGATGACAACAGTAATAACTTGTGAGGAAACAACTTTGTAAGACCTCAGAACTCTGACCAAAGTGACAGTCAGTTGTGACTTCAAAAGAGCAGTGGGGAAGCCTGCTTCCTGCCTCTTGACGGAGAGGTGATGGGCCAGAGCTACAGAATCAGATATGCTGTGAGCTGTGGCTGATGCACAGATTTGTTTTGCTTGATTGTGCATATTTGTTACAAGGAAAGTTTATATTCAGGATAGAAAGTAAGGTAAGTTAGTGGGTAGTGATAGAAAAAAGGAAGAGTACCAATAAAAGAGATTTTGAAATGCACAGGAGAAAAAAGTGTAGGGAGACAAATTTGTTACTAATTTGTTAAACTTCTTTTGTAAACATTATGTAATGCTAACAAAAAACTAGTGACAGAAATATGCAGTTTTTTATACTTCTGTGTTCTTTGTATCTTTTTTTTGTTTTTACTTTGGATGAGGTAATCGGGGTTAAGTGACTTGCCCGGGATCACGCAAGTGAAGCTAGTAAGTATCATGTGTCTGAGGCTAGATTTGAACTTAGGTCCTCTTGATTCCAAGGCTGGAGCTCTATCCACTGTGCCATCTAGCTGCCCCCTTTGTATCTTTTAATGTTTGTGTCTGATTGTTTTCAGTAAAAAAGAAAACATTTTAAAAAACTTCTTTCACTGGATGTTCATCCTGTCACTGTGGGTTGTTTTCCAAGTATGCCACATCTTACTCTGTACTCCCTTGATATTGTCATTTGCTTGCATGATTTTACCTACTATGTCTATTTTAGTGGTTTTCAAATTTCAAGCCCTGACATCTTTTAAAATTCTAAATTATTTTCTCCACTCTGTGTAAGACATTTCCTCCTGTTTGTTCCTTTGTCATCCCAAACTCAGTATGTTTAAGAAAGTTTTCATCTTTCCCCTAAATTTGGTTTTCCTTCGTACTTTACTATTTCTGTTATGACCATTCCCTGACTCTCCTGTGTCTACAAAGTTATTTTCTACTCTTCTCCTTCCATCACTTTAATAACCACCACCACCATGACAGCAAAAGTGCAAAATTCTATGTTCATGTCAGCTATTATTATTGAGAGACAAGCAGCACAGTAAAAAGGGTATGGGGCTCTGGAGTCAGGACAAGAGTTCAAATCCCACCTGATAACATGACTTTGGGCCATGACCTCCCTCGGTCTTCCTTTCTTCATCTGGGGGCTGGACTAGATGGCCACTGGGTCTCTTCTAGCTTTAGTATAGCCAATCAGTCAGCAAGCATTTATTAACCTTCTACTGTGTTCCCAGTACTGTACTTTTTAAGTACCTAAGAAAGGCATGTCTCATTGGCATAACTCTGGTTATGGAATTAATTCTGTTCAGAACTCTTTAGTGTCCCTCCATTATTTACCAAGTAAAATTCAGAAAAAATTTTTTATTTGGATCTGAAGGTCCTCTCGGCCCCACCATTCTTTTCCAGCCTTATGTTATATTAGTAACTCCCACGTATACTCTATTTTTAGCCATGCTGGTTTTCTCTGTCTCCCAGTATTCCATGTCCCTTCTTTCTTTGCCTTCACTTCGTTCTTGAATCTCCTTACTCTTGCTCTTGGTCTATTGAAATTTTTTTTAAACCAAACTTAAATGCTACTACTTCCATGAAGCTTTCCTTTATCCTCCTGTTAAGTTCTCCCTTTGGACCTCACACAGTCCTTTGTGTCATCTTTCATAAACTGACTTCTACTGTACCGTAAGGTTCCTGAGGCAGTCATTGTCCTACCTACATTTTATATTTTTCCTGGAATGCTCTCCTTAGTTGTGACCAGATCACAGTTGCAGGGAACCGTATTGAATATGGTCTGATGAAATTAACTGACAACCACTGAAAGAAGTTCACATTAGTTACTGACCAGAAATTTTTCAGTAAGCAATGTGATCAGCTAAGACTGAAGTGTAACCTATGGTTTCTGGTCAGAGATTAAAATGAAGGGCAAAATCAGAAGACTTACTAGCCTGGGAAGCTGTGTATTACTGAGTTTTAGAAATCCCTAGAACCTTTTCAGATAAACTGGTCCGCCACCTTATACTTAAGAAGTTGACTTTTGGAACTTAAGTATAAAATTTCACAATTATGCCTGTTAAATTTTATCTGATTAGATTTGGTTCAGCATTCTAGTCTTGGAGGAATATTGTGACTCCTTTCTACTACCATGTTAGCTATCCCTGCCAGTTTTGTTTCATTTGTAAATTTTATAAACAAGTCATCCATACCTTTCATTGACGTCATAGAAAAAAGTGTCACAGGGCCAAGGATAGATCTCTAAAGTTCCCCTACAACCACAATTTAACTATTCTAACTGTACCTGGATAAGGGAAGCTGGTTTTACCATCTCGTTACTTGTCTGTAAAAACTATCCCTTTCTAGAGTTTGGTAGTGGTAAATTATAGGGGATGACCGGTTCCCCTTTCATCTCCCACGGCTCCTGTGAGTCACCTCACCCCGAAGGTTCTCCTACCCTTCTAACTGCTCTTTCTCTGTCTCCATTTGTGGTTCCTCCTCATATTTTTATTTCTGCTTGAAACATTTTTTCCCTCCAAAATCTTTTGGAAGAAGCAGTGTGGTGTCAGGACATCTGTTTTCTCAATACACCCATTGTTTGTCAGCCCCTGGAAATCTGATGAGATTAATGAAAATGCTTTCTCTCTGAGCTCTGTAATGTCTTCTTTTAATCACTGATTCCAACCCCACCCCCCCCTTTTGTGTGTACTTTTATATATCTGCTGCTTCTGACAAATTTCATCATTCCATATTCCTCTTGGATAGTGAGAAAATCAAATTCTGTTTCCCTTTTGTAATTCTCTTGTATCACCAACAACATTTTGTAAAACTGTCTAAAGTCACATTTCTTTATCTTTTAAGTTCAGAAATTTATAAGTTTAAAAGTTCAGTTTTCCTATAATGTTTTCTTCTCTGGGTTAAGTTTAAAAGTTCAGCTGTCCTATAAATCACTTTTAGTTAAAGGAAATTTGTTATCTCTGTACCACTAGCTGTCCTTGCACAATTAAAGGAAATATGTTATCTATATACCACTAGTTATTCTTGTAGGATGCAGGTGTGCTCAATCAACCGGCAATTTCCTAGCAGCAGGATAGAAGGAAGGGTTGTTGCTAGCCCCACATTCCTGATACAGATCCAGCCCCTAACTCTTTTCTGAATCTGTATTTACTGTACATCACTTTAGGATAATAAGTTTCATAAACTGATTAACTACAACTTTCTGCAAAGTCCTACTCTAATGCCTCATTGTGGCATGGGGTCACCCTGATCGTAAAATGTCAAGAGAGACATAAAACTGGGAAGTATTATGCTTGCCAAAAATATTTACCACAGTAATGAAGAATAGTACAGAATTCAAGTTGAGATTTCTTGTGGATGGTGAGCTTGTCCAGATGCTGCTATTGGCATATCATGTTGTACTGAGCCCATATTACATGTAATGGAGATAAATAAGAGGCCTTTTCAGTAAGGTAAGCAGTATAGCAAAGATGTAATATGAGGTCTTCGTTTTAGATATTATGGGAGAACTCTTTCTTTTCCTGTTTTTTCAAACTGCTTATATAATATTGGAACTAACATATTAATTGATTACTTAGTAATATATTATCAATTGATAGAATTCACTTGTAAACCTCTTTGGCCCTGGGTTCAAACCCCCCCCCCCCTTTGAGAATTCATTTGTTCCTTGTTTAATTTCTTTTTCTAAGATTGGACTATTAAACTACTCTTTCTTTTTGTTGATCTTGGCATTTGTATTTTTGTAAAGATTTATCCATTTCATTTAGGGTGCCAGTTTTATTGGCATATAATTGGGTGAAATAACTTTTAATAATTTCTTTTGTTTCTTTGTTGGTTATGAATTCACCATTTTAATTTTTGATACTAGTAATTTGGCTTTCTACCCCCCCCCTTCAGAGTTTATTTCATTGATTTTTTTTTAAGTGTTTAGGTTTATTTTTTAATTTCATTTTTTAACCTTCATTTTTGCTAATCACTTGGTTTCAAAGATTTCTATTTTTTATAAAACATTAGAGTTTTAAAATTGATTGGTTTTCTACTTTTTTGTTGTTGTTGCATACCCAATTGTTGATCTTTTTTTTTCTTCTCCATTTTGTTGAAGAAAGTGTTTAGAGATGTAAATTTTCCCCTCAGGACTGTTTTGGTTACATCCTCAAAATTTTGGTATGTTGTTTCATTGGTGATATTCTATTTAATGAAATAATTTCTTTCTATGATTTGTTCTTTAGCCCATTTATTCTTTAGCATCATGTTATTTAGTCTCCAGTTAACATTTAATTTTTTTCTTCAGAGGACCTTAATATGATTTGTATTTCTTTGAGGTACATAAAATGAATTTTTAGTATTTCTTTTTTTCTACATTTTTTAAACTCTCTCCTACTTTAAAATTTTTATTTATTTTCCAATTATATATAAAAACAAAAACATTTTTTTTTAAAACAAAATTTTTTGAGTTCCAAATTCTCTCTCCCTTCCCTAATTATCAATCTAAAGTGTTTATTTTTTGGTTAGACTTTTCTGGGTCTGAAAGGGGTACATTGAGTGCCCCCACTACTATATTACTATGGTCATTATGTTTATAATTTTCCTAATATTGAACCAGTCCTGCTTTCCTAGTATAAATCCAGTCTGCCATAGTGTAGGATCTTTGTGTTATATTGCCATAGTCTCCTTGCTAATATTTTATATAAATTTTTTTTTGCACCAGTATTCATTAGGGAAATTGAACTATAGTTTTCTCTCTTTTGAATCTCCCTGATATAGGTATCAAGACTTTTTGTGTCATAGAAGGAAATTGGTAGGATCTCTTCTTTATATGTTTTTTCAAACCATTTATGGATATTGGAATTAATTGTTCTTTAAATGTTTTGTAGAATTTGTTTATAAATCCTTCTGGTCTTGGGGTTTTTTTCTTAGTGTGAGTTCATTTATTCACTGTTCAGTTTCTTTTTTCTCTGATAGAGTATTAAACATTAAATATTCTATTTCCCATTCTGTTAATCTGGATATTTATGCTTTTAAGAAATATTCATTTATTTTATTTAGATTATCAGTGTCCTTGGCATGTAGTTGGAAGAAATAATTAATTATTGCTTTTATTTCTCCTTCATTAATTCTCCTTTTTCATTTTTGATACCAATAGTTTGGTTTTCTTTTTTAAAAACTAAATTAGCCTTGGGACTTTTATCAGTCATTATTATTTTTTAAGCCATCTTCTGGTTTTATGTAGTAATTCAATTAAAAAAACTTTTAATTTTGGTGAGCTCTCCTTTGATTTTCAGTATTTCTATTTTGGCATTTAATTGAATGTTTTAAATTTGTTGGTTTTCTGGTTTTTATTTTTGGTTACATGCTTAATTCATTCATCATTTATTTCTGTCTTTAATTGTTGAAAGTGTTTAGAGATAGAAATTTTCCCTTAAGTTTTACTTTGGCTTCATCCTACAAATTTTGATTTGTTGTCTCACTGTTGTCATTATCTTTAATGAAATTATTGTTTCTCTGATTTGTCCTTCAACTCACCTGTTCTTTTAGATTAACTCACATAGTTTTCAAATAATTTTTAACATTCATATCAAAGACCCTTTTGAATATAGTTTTACTGCATCATAATTGGTAAAAGATTAAATTAATCTTTCTGCTTTTCTGCATTTTATTTGTGAGTTCTTTACGTTCTAATACAGTTTTCTGAAGATACATATCCTGCATAGCTGAGAAATAGGCATACTGCTTTCTATTTTCATTCAATAATATATCTAACTTTTCTAAAACTCTTCAAATCCTTAACTTCTTTCTTGCTTATTTTTTAGGTAGATTTATCTATGTCTGAGGGGAGTAAACGTAGGTTCCCCATTATTATAATTTTACTATTATTTCCTTTAATTCATTTAACTTTAAAAATTTAGATGCTGTGCCATTTGGTCCATGTATACATATATTTTGTGTTTGTGTGTTTTAATATTGACGTAAATTCATTGTCTATGTTACCTTTTACCAAAATGTTTCTCTGTTTATCTCTTTTTAATTAGGTCTGATTTTGCTTTTACTTTGTCTGATATAATGATTGTTACTTTTGCGTTTTTTACTTCAGCTGAAGCATAATAGCTTTTGTTCTAGCCCCTTATTTTAACTCTGCATTTTTCTATTTCAAATTTATTTCTTGTAAAAAACACATTGCTAGAGTCTTGTTTCATTCTTCTATCTTCTTCTGTTTTATGGGTGAGTTGATCTCATTCATATTTACACTTAGGATAACTGCATGCGTATTTCCCTTCATCCTTTGTATTATACTTTCACTTTTTTTTAACCTACTCCCTCTTTGGGTTTTGCATCTAATTAATGTCTCCTTTAAATTGCCCTCCTTTATTCTCAATCTCTTTTCCTTAACCACTTTTTCTCTTGTTTCCCTGTTCATTAAGTTGCTTTTCTATATCCATCTGTGTATGTATATGTATTCTTCCCTCCTTTAACCACTTTAGATGAGAGTGGGGTTCAGGTTTTTCTTATTCCTCCCAATCCACTTTGTTGTGTAAACTCTTCTTTGTCTACCTCATTTATGTGAGATAATTTTTCCCATTCTTCCTCTCCTTTCCCATTTTCTCCCAGTGTTTTCCTCTTCTCTCTCCTTTTTATTCTTCTTTTGAGATTATTAAAACAATCACTCCCAGGGCGTCCTGACTAATTTCTAATTTTCAAGGAGTTATTTTCTTCAGTAAGGTTTTGCACTTCTTTTCCCACACTATTAATGTTTCTCTTTGTATAAAATGTATTGAATTTTGTATGAGTATTATATACAGTTACTTATATTTTTAATCTCTTTGATTCCAGTTTTGGCTTTAGTGATAAAGTTTCAATGAATGGTCGTGTCCCAATTGGATTATATGGAAATGGATTCAAGTCAGGCTCAATGCGCCTAGGTAAAGATGCAATTATTTTTACCAAAAATGGTGAAAGTATGAGTGTGGGCTTATTGTCACAGACCTACCTGGAATCTACAAAAGCAGAACATGTTGTTGTCCCAATAGTAGCATTCAACAAGGACCATATCCTTTTGGATGTTTGTTCTTAATGATTAATTATTGTTGATTGTTTTTCTTAGTGTTGAAGCATCCCTAGTATAAATCCAACTTGGCCACAATGTATAAATTGCTTTCTTTGATGAATTAAGGTAGTCTTTATTATGAGACTGTATTTGGACCATATCCTTTTGATTTTAAAATTATGAAAAAGTTAAAATTATGAAAAGAAGTTACTAAACAGAGATCCCAAATACCACATGAATTATTTTTCATATAATTGCTGGTAATACAGATTTATTTCATTAGATATTTACCAATTGCATGTAAAAATTGTTTTAACATTCATTTTTAAAAATTCTAAAGTTCCACATTCTCTCCTTCCCTCTTCTCCTCCATCCCTTGAGAAGGCAAGCAATATGATATTGATTATACATGTGAAGTCATTTAAAACATTTCCATATTAGCCATGTTGCAGAAGAAAACACATATACACACACAAACAAGAAAAATCGAGTAAAAAAAAAAGTCCAACTTTTCAGTCTATAGTCAGAGTTCATCATTTCTCTCTCTGGAGATGGATAACATTTTTCATCACGAGTACTTTGGAATTGTCTTGGATCATTGTCTTGATCATAGTAATAACTAAATCTTTTACAGTTGATCATCTTTACAGTATTGCTGTTACTGTGTACAATGTTCTCCTGGTTCTGCTCATTTCACTTTGTATGAATTCATATATGTCTTACAAGGTTTTTCTGAAACCATCCTGTTCATCATTTGTCATAGCACAGTAGTATTCCATCACGATTATGTACCACAACTTGTTCAGCCGTTCCCTAACTGATGAACATCTCCTAATTTTTTACTCCTTTAACAATACAAAAATAGCTGCTATCTATAATTTTTGTACATAAAAAAATCTTTTTCCCTTTTCTTTGATTTCTTTGGGATATAGACCAAGTCGTGTTATTGCTGGGTCACAGGGCATGCACAGTTTCATGGTCCATTGGGCATATTTCCAAATTGTTCTCCAGAATGGTTAGACTATTTCACAACTCCACCACCAGCCAGCACATTCGTGTGTTAATTTTCCCACATTCCCTCCATTATTTGTCCTTTTCCTTTTCTGTCATGCTAGCCAGTCTGATAGGTATAAGGTGGTATTGCAGAGTTGTTTTAATTTGTGTTTCTCTAATCAATGTTTTAGAGCATTTTTATGTGACTATTTATAGCTTTGATTTCTTCTTCTGAAAACTGCCTCTTCATATCCTTTGACCAATTTATAAATGAATTGGCAAATGGCTCTTTTTAAAAATATGTATATATGTATATATTTGGCTCAGTTCCCTCTATGTTTGAGAAATGAGGCCTTTAGAAGAGAAATTTGCTGTAAATTTTCCCCCAGTTTTCTTTTTTTTCCAATTTTGGCTGCATTAGCAAACCCTTTTTAATTTCATATAATCAAAGTTAAACATTTTACTTCCTGTGATCCTCTCTGTCTCTTGTTCAGTCATAAACTTCCCTTATCCATAAATCTGACAGATACATTTTTCTTTGTGCCCCTAATTTACTTATTATTTCACCCAGTAACACATTTTTAAAGATTTACATATATATGAGATACATATTTACAAACTAATCTGATTTTTAAAAAATACAAACTCTTAGGTGAGATCATCTGCATAGTTCAGTGCCATTAAAAAATTGAAAAGACTTAGTGTTTGGAGAAGTCATGACTATAGTGTTCTCTTTGGTAGTTTACGAACCATTAATATTATAATGATTGGATGCTCATATTCCAAAGAAATAAAAGTGTAGCACTTGTAAAGTCTATTTATCTAAAAGGGAAGGAAAAAGGACGGTATAGTATTCATTTGGAAAAAAATGACACAACATAACTTTCTTTTTGTAAGCCATACGTAAATTCTTAGCAGTTCTTGAAATTACTGAAAGGAAAAAGGCTTGTTTTAGAAAATTCCAGCCTAATTCTAGAATACCTGTGTATCTATTCAGTTTCTGTTTGAACTATCTTTTTTTAAATGAGGAAATAGTGTTTGTTTTACTGTGTAATGGATTGATCTCATTTTGTTAAAACACATTGATGATATTAAATCTTTAACTTGAGACATACGACAGCTCTTTAATTTAGCTGAGACAAAAGCCAGTCTTAGAGCAATTCTGGAGCATTCTTTATTTTCTACGGAACAGAAATTATTGGCTGAACTTGATGCTATCATTGGTAAAAAAGGAACAAGAATCATCATTTGGAATCTTAGGAGGTAATGTATAAATCAGCTGGTAATTATTGGTACACTGAATGAAATATTTACTAGTACTTTTATTGAATTTATACTTAATTGTATAAAGTTAAAATATAGAAATGCATATACACTGAAAAGTGCTCAGAATTATATGGCTCCATTATAGTTTTGCTTTTACCAAAAGAAATTCTTGAGGGACATTAATGACTAATTACTAAAAATATTTTTTTTGTACAAATTGTTTCTCAGTCACTTTCCATCCATCCCAACCACTAGTCCCCAAATCTCAAAAAGGAGTAAGGAAAAGGGAAGACTGGTTACTAAGTTAATAAGTTTGAAGTTTTAGGATGGGTGTGGGGGTGATGTTTTGTTATCACCATTGCATAGACACATTTTTAGAAGCAAGTGATTAATTGATGAGAAATCAAGATGTTAAAATAGGTATTCACTGCTTGAAATATGAAGGTCATACTCAAATATAGTTTTGAAACTTTGAGGATTCAGTTAACATTAGCAAACCAAACCCTGTGTAGATATATATGACACATATTGAAAAAAGTGTTTCCAGAAAATGATAAATTTTAAAAGCCTAAAAATTCTTGTTATTTCTGACTACTTTGATTACTTTCAGTTATCTGTGTGTGCATTTGGTTTACCATGAAAAATGGAACTTGTCTAACAGTCTCTCTCTTTTAAAAAAAAAATGCAGAGACAACAATGGAATAACAGAATTTGAATTTGATAAAGATAAATATGACATTAGAATTCCTGAAGATTTAGATGAAACAGGGAAAAAAGGATACAAAAAACAAGAAAGAGTGGACCAAATTGTTCCTGAAAGTGACTATTCCCTGAGGGTATGTATTTAGCTCATTTAATTTTGGAAATGGTGGAGGTGTAGGGGGTGGTGATGGTGGAGAGAACCAATAAAAGCTTAACTGTTTATGTAAATTCTGAAAGAATTGTGAACTTCATATATAGTAAAAATACTGTAGTCATTTTTAGAGGTTCAGAAACTCCTTTTTAAAAATAAGAGGGATATTAGACATGAATTGAATTTATTAATTATACTTGATGAATACTGCTGTGTTCTTTAGCTGAAAGAAGTTTTTTGAGCCAACTTTTGAGGTACACTGGGGTCATGAAGAATGTAACCACACATATATTTGGGTCTGTGTTACTGTGAGATAAGCTACACTTGCATTTCATTAAGTGTGGTAAAATAAACTCAAGCTCCGTAAACATTTGACAATTTAAAATTTACCTATTGATTTAAAAAAAATTACTTAGAAATTACCGAGGCTAATTCTATGATATCCCAAGTGTGTGTTGTTCTTTGTTGCAGTAGCTACTAAGAAAGCCAATTCAGAGGATCCCAGAGGTGGGTGGTATTTTTTTTAGTGTACCACGGGTGTAATATTAAAAACAGATCAGATGTTAAGCAAAAACCCCTCCTAAAGTACCATTTCTGAGCTCCTCTGAGTTCATAATAAAGAAATAACTTCTTTATTAACATCAGGAATCTGAAAATAAAAAAATATTAAATATTTAGCTTTGCATTTAGTATCTCTTCTTTCCTCTTACTATTTAAGAACCACTGAAGAACTCTTTGCTTCATAAAAGTTTTCTGTTAGTTGTGGCATCAAAAATGGTATTTTTGAGAAATCTAGTTTATAGGAGATTTTGTTTTTGTGTTAGTTTCCTTCTACTTTAATTTCCGAGATTTATTTAATTTCCTTTGCAGTTAAGATACAGTGGTATAGAGCTTGAGGAATGATGCTTGTATTGATTCTATTTTCAATCATTTCTTGTCAGTTAATACATTTTCATCTCTTGAATTGTGCCTATAAATAAATTGGGATATCATAGGTTGAGGTAATTTGTGATTTTCTAGATTTCATTATTGGAATACTTTTGATATAGTTAATAAAGATTTTGTTTAGTAGTTGTAAACACTATACTCTCAGTTATGAAGTCTGGTATCTGCAGAGGTCTTTAATCTTTTTTCAACAATTGAATCATTTTGTTTTGAATCTTTTTTCAGTTCTTTTGTCTGCACAATAGCTCTTTGTTTAGGTAACTACTTGTCCCCCCCACTTCCTCAAGGCATTTAAAAAAATTTTTTATCCTTAATAAAATCATGCTATTTAATGCCAAAAAAATGTTGAATAATGTAAAAGTTTTGGGATATGTGAACCTTTTAATCTCTGGCTCTTCTTCTCTGAGGCCCTACTCTCCTGACTGGTAAGAGCCTCATTTTGCCTATTGGCAGAACCCCCATCTCACTCCATCTTCCCTGAATCTGAATCTACCCCATAGCCAGTTCTTTGGTTTTACCTCTTAATTCCATACAATCATGTATCTTCTCTCCCTCCTTCTCCCCACCCCCTAATATCTTTGCTGGAACCCTGATAAAATCAGCTTTGCCACTGCTCCTGGTAGGGATTTGTCACTGTAGTCCACTAACTATCCCCTGTACTTTCCAAAATGAAAACCCATCTCTGGTGCCCGGTCCCCCCTCCCCCACCCCATCGCAATGTTTCAGTGAATGAAAGTATATAGATGCATTAAAGTAAATTTTCTTCATTCTTTAATTTGAAAATGTGTTAATTTAATTTGAAACAAAGATCACTGAACTGTTACATTTGTAGATCTGAAGGTTCAAAAGTAGATTTTAACTGTCAGTTTGTGGATCTTATCATTTAAGATATTTTTGTGTAATTTTATATGCTAAGAATTACTGGTGGTTTGGATATGCTTCATTTTGTATATATTGTTTGGTAATTCATCAGTATCAATAATTAGAAAACATTTACATCTAGTTTGTCAGTAAAACTTTTGCTTACTCTTGAAAACATTAACATTTTACAGTACTAATCAGGAACCTGAAAATATACTCTTCAGTGTATTTTAAGTTTTGAAGACATAAAATGAATGGTGAACACCATAAAATGATTTAGAGGAAAAAATGCCATTTTTATTTACTGTTTCCAAATTTTGTCCTGCCGAGGTTGAAATTTTTTTTCCTTAAAAGCTTATTAGAGTAATCTCATTCGTTTTTAAGTTAAAGAATTAAGATTATTTCTCACTAAAAGCAGATCAGATGAGAGTTATAAATTAATGTATTTTATATATTTGTTTTATTGAAGATGATCTAATTCTTCTGTAAACAAGGATGTGGGGACAGCTAGGTGGTGCAGTAGATACAGCTCCGGCCTTGGAGTTAAGAGGACCTGAGTTCAAATCTGACCTCGGACACTTGACACTCACTAGCTGTGTGACCCTGGGCAAGTCATTTAAGCCCGATTGCCTCACCAAAGAAAAACAAAACAAAACAGAAAAAAAACCCCTGAGGATGTGTTTTCTTAAAATATACCAATGATGATATATAAATATGAATTTATTATTTGTCTAAAAATGTAAATCATTGTTATTTTTCAGGCTTATTGCAGTATACTATATTTAAAACCAAGAATGCAGATCATTTTACGAGGACAGAAAGTGAAGACACAGTTGGTCTCCAAAAGTCTTGCTTACATTGAGCGTGATGTTTATAGACCCAAATTTTTAGCTGTATCCTTTGATTACTCTTTATATTATATTGTATTAGAGATAAGCTAAGATTATATCTTTCAAAACATTTCAAACAACAGGAAAATTAAGTGATGAACTTTTATTTATTTATTTATTTATTTTACAAAAAGAATCAACTAGTCCCTAGTTCTGAGAGTTTTATGGAAAATGACATTTTGAAAAAGTATAATTCTCAAATTTGTGAAAAGGCAGTGATATCATTGGGTTTTAATTCTGATTCAAGCAAGGTGTCTTTGTATGTAAGAATAGCATTTGAAATAGACCTTATAGGCTTATTCTTTTACTCATCTTAATATTCCCCAATTTTGACCCTACTCTAACAACCTTTATCATAAAGTAATCCTGAGTAATGGGGGGAGGATAGGGATGGAGTAGGAGAATTATGTAGACTAGTCCCTAGATTCCTATTGATAGCCCACTCATAGTTACTTCAGAATTGACTATTTTGCAGTATAGTTATTTGGGAAATTCAGTCATGACATAATAGACTTTTCAAATGGAGAAGTTTTTGCTTGCTTTTGATTTTATTGGTTTATTTTGCAAGGGAGCAAGTTTGGAGAATCTGTGTATACGAACTTTTAAGGCATTTGTCACTAGTCAGAATTTTCCTTAATTTTTTTAAGGCTAAAACGGTAAGAATTACCTTTGGATTTAACTGCAGAAACAAAGATCATTATGGGATAATGATGTATCACAAAAATCGGCTCATCAAAGCTTATGAAAGAGTTGGTTGTCAGTTAAAGGTAAGTGATCGTAAAAAAAACCAGAATTATACTATAGTATTATTAAATGTGAAAATTATTACTGCATTTAATCACTTTTTAAAGCAATAATCACTTTTTTAAAGCAGTATGTGCTGAGTGCTAAAGATAGAAAAGCAGAAGTAAAACAATTCCTGCCCTGGTATGTACAGAATAAATACATGGTAATTTTGAGGGGAAAGACACTAATGGCTGGTATCAGGAAAGACTTTTTGACCAACCATGGCATTCTAGAAAGGCAAGTAATTTATGGGGTGTCCCAAAAGTTTTAGTGCAGTTTTAAGCTCTAATAGCTTCAATCAAAATTATGGTGATAAAAAGGAATGGAAATGCCATTCTTTTTTTCCTGCAAGGTAATACATTTCAGTCAGAAGCCTTCAGAGTAAAAGAAAAAAATAGTGCAGTTTAAGCTATTAAAGTTTAAACTAAGACTTTTGAGACATCCTGGGAAAAGAAGGCTGGGGAAATCCTACCCCTAGGAGAAACCTGGGGAGATTAGATCAAGTGAAAGATTTATAAAAATGGGGAGACCTAGATTTGGCATATTTTTAGGTGACAGGAAAGGAGCTGTTGAATAAGGAGAGGTTGAGTATTATGTAGAGAAAAGAGATGATTGAAGGGCTAAACTCCCAGAGGGAGTAAGGGAAAAGGATCAAAGCCACAAGTAAAGGGGTTAGCAGTGACAACGAGGCCACCTCATCCTTTTGGACTAGAGGAAAAGAGGACATGATGGGGATATTGGGATGTAGAATTGGCATGACCTGTTTTTTCAGTGATGTATGGGGTGAGGCCATCTGAGGTGGAAGAGGTAAAGGATGCTCTAGGTTGCTTAAGTATAAAAGAGGTTTGGGACAGTTGCCTTGATGGAGAAGAGTTAAGAGGATCAGGGTGTAGCAGTGAGGATCTGGTTGAGATTAGATAACAGCATGTTTATGTGACTCAAGCAGGTGGGGAAAAGGTGGATTGTGGAAATTACCAAGGGTTGGGTTTGGAAAGGAATGAGTAGGAACAGTACAGTGGGGTGGGGATTCAAGGGACAGTACAAAGATGTTTAACTAAAGGGTCAGTATTTTCATGTGACAATAGTAAGACCAGAGACAATGGTTGTAGCCTTGGAAAACTGGAGGAAGGTAGAGTAAATGGATATTATGGCAAGGATAGAGATTCAAGTTTAGGACAAGTGAATTGTAGGGACAACTGGAAAGACAGGTAATGACCACCTTAGGGAAATATCAGATTTACAGACTGTAGAGGTTAGACTTTAGGATGGGCATTAAGTGGTATAGTGGATAGAGCACTTGGCTTCCTGAGTTCAGATTCAGCCTGACACATTTACTGGCTGTGTGACCCATGGCAAGTCACTTAACCTGTTTGCCTTGCCTCCGTTTCCTCACCTGTAAAATGATCTGGAGAAGGAAATTGCAAATGACTCTATTGTCTTTGCGAAGAAAACCACAAAATGGGGTCATGAAGAGTCAGCTATGACTGAAATGACTCAACAACTACAACTACTCCTACTATGACTATGACTGTGGATGATAGAAACTACGAATGTGAGCACCGCTATGAATGGCTATAGTGGAGTAAAGGCACAAATTGTAGAAGCTGAGATTAAAAACTTGATACACAAGAGTGTGAGAATGAATAACCTAAGAGCCTGTAGATAACAGGGACTAGGCTCTGGATAGGGTGATATATCTGGATGGAATGAACCAGACAGGAAGATTTGATGGTGTTAGGGAGGTCCAGAAGTGACAGTGAAGAACAAGAATCATGCCTACTTCTCTTCACTAAATTTTCAAAGCACATGAGTGAAGATACATTGGGTGGGGGGGGGGAAATGCTGTACTCTTCATTTTAGGCACAAACCTGACAAACAATTTAAAATTAATTTTAGATTAAACTAATTTAAAATGTTTTAGCTTAGAGAGCCTGAAAAGAGGTCCAGCTAATCAGAGTTACTCTATGCTTCTGAAAATCTCCTTTCCCCCAAGCTGTGTTGTAATTATAATTTATAGCATTCCCAGACAATAGACAAAATTCCATGCTTGAGATTGAACAGAGGGTTCAGAGTTGAAGTGATAGTTTAAAAATTTGCTTCATCCAGCAGTCCACTAGTCACTTAACTTTTGGCACACCCCAGAGTAGGGATTCTTAACTTTTTTGTGTGTCCTGGACCCCTTTGGTAGTCTGGTAAAGGTTATGGACATCTTTCCAGAATAATGTTTTTAAGTGCCTAAAACAAAATGCATAGAATTATAAAAGAAGACAATTATGTTGAAATATTTTTCAAAATAATAAGGAAAATTATGGATCTATGAAATCTGTCCATGTACTCCTTTCATTATTCATGGACCTCAGTTTAAGATCCCTGGAGGGCTCACTCTTTGGCTACTTTCTATAAGAATTAACCTTTCCAGCTGGTCATACCTCTATTAACTGAAGAAATCAAAGAGTTTTTTCTTCTCATTGCCTTAATCTTATCAAGCAAGGCTGGGGGAGTTGGGGCCAGGGGAAGAGTATATTGTAACAGTCAAACCTCTTTCCCTTAACTAATCACTGCCCTAATTCTATTATTAGGGAGATCAGAGTTCCTCCCTGAACTTTAATGTAGAGAATTGTTTTGGAATCAAGAGTTAAGAAAAGACTGCTAAGGTTTCTTACCAGGTATGACCAAGGACTTTGGAATAAATTATGGTCTTAATATAATTTTGTAATGTGTAGTCTAAAGCAGGAATGGGGATGGAGGATCTCAGTGCTTCCATTATCCAGTACTGGAGATCAAAAAATCCATTCCACTTTGGCAAACTTTTTTTTCCTTTTAAATAGTATTTTTTCCCAATTACATGTAAAGACAATTTTTAACATTAATTTTTTAATAAAATTTTGAATTCCAAATTTTCTCCCTCCCTCCTCCCTAAGATGCCAAGCAATTCAATGTAGGTTATATATGTTCAATCATGTAAAATATATTGGAAAACATTTGAAAGATTATTTATTCCTACAAATAGAAGGAAGACTTAATTTAAAGATATATATATATATAGATAGATAGATAGATAGATAGATAGATAGATAGATACATATATAATTTTAAACTATATAGACCTAGAAGAAGGGTTTTAGGTTCATAAGGTCATAGAATTAGGGCTGGGAAGGGACTTTAGAGATCATGTTGTCCAGGGGTTCTTAAACTTGGTATCTATAAACTTGTTTTTAGAAAATATTAAAACTGTATTTTAATATAATTGGTTTCCTTTGTAATCCTACACATTTTATGCATTTAAAAACATTCTGAGAGGAACTCTATAGGCTTTATCAGACTACCAGACATGTCTGTGATGCACAAAATGTTGAGAATCCCTGATCTAGTCTAACCTCCTCATTTTAAATATGAAGAAATGAAGGCCCTGAGTATTTCATTGACCTGGCCAAGGTAGAGTAAATGGTAGGGTTAGGCTTTGAATGCTTCATGAATTTGCATGTCATCCTTGCACAGGGGCCATGCTAATCTTCTCTGTATTGTTCCAATTTTAGTATATGTGCTGCCAAAGCAAGCACAGAATTAGGCTTTGAATTTAGGTCCTTTGCTTCAAAGTCCTTGTATTCTTTCTACTACAGTACCATTTTCTGCTATACGTTGCCATTTTAGTGGACCGTGTTGGGACATTCTTTGCTGGTAGTGATTTTAATAAGTAAAACATAACATTAAGTTTAACTTGGAATTTCAAAATTGTAAACTTACTTTAACCTCCTTTGTTTTACAAGTGAAGACTGAGAACCAGAAAGATTAATGACTTACCCAAATAAGATAATTTAGCTAATAACAGGATGGACTTGAATATAAGTCTCCTGACTGTGAGACCAATGTTGTTTTCACTTTACCACACTGGTTTTAAAAAGTTCCTCTAACTCCCTTTTACACCTTGCATTTTGTACATAAAATCATTACCTCCTCAAGGCTTTATTTTATGTTTTGCTTTATTTTCTTTTTCAGGCAAACAACATGGGTGCTGGTGTAGTTGGAATTATAGAGTGTAACTTCCTAAAGCCAACTCACAATAAACAAGATTTTGATTACACAAATGAGTACAGGTACATCACAACTCACTACATTCTCTTTATGAGCATCTAAGGTATATCTTAGAAAAAGTTTCTTATAGCTTTGTTTTTAGCTCAGTTTTTTTATGTCCTGAATTGGAAATTTTTACTAGGTCATGGCATATTCTCCATGAAGTCTACAGTAAGTCCTAATAATTCCCCCCATTTCTCCCAATGATTTTCTGTGTATTTGCTGGGGAGATATTTTGTTGCTACTACTCTTATTACTATGACTTACCAGTAAATGCTGCTGCTTTGAGCTAATTTTGTTCTTTGATGAGAACCAAGTTAAATATACCATTGGGGGAGGAGGTTCATAGGTTGGGTGAAGCATGCGGCATCTCCATTGACTGAGTGGTTATAAGATGGTCGCCTATTCATGCTGGACAAGAGAGAATGGTATGGAGGTACAAAAAATAAGTTGGGGGACTTTTCAAGGCATCCCACTCATGCTGGGTTTGGACATGGAATTTGAGTAAGACAGCATTCTTTGTCCGCATTCTCATGGTTGTATAAGTAAGCCTCACAACTTGGTAAACAAGCAGTGAATGTTGCATTAAAGTTTGAGGCCCACTATAAGAACCTGTCTATCCCTATATGATTTATGTAGACTGTCAAACTGATTAATAGTGATTGGAATAGAGTAGGGATCCAAATAATTATTTCTTACAAGTTTAATATTCATTTCAGCAAATATGAAGTACCTGTTTCATGTAAACATATAGTTTATCTCTCTCTTCATCTCAATAGCATAGAAATTCTGCCGTTTTTCTTTTGATGGATAGTTTCTGTGGAAAATTGTGGAAATAGACTGAAAAAGGGAGGAGTCATAGAGTCCCCCAAAGGATCCTCCTGTGTGATAAAACAAGGTCTAGCATCCTTTTTTGTCTGCTACCTGATTTTTGGTTCTGTTTTTGCTGTATAAAACCATTATTGTGGTGGTGGTAATGCAAAATCAAACAACGTGATTTCTCTAGAAATAATACTTTTAGGGGCAGCTAGGTGGTGCAGTGGATAGAGCACCAGCCCTGGATTCAGGAGGACCTGAGTTCAAATGCGGCCTCAGACACATAATACTCACTAGCTGTGTGACTCTGGGAAAGTCACTTAACCCCAATTGCCTCACCAAAACAAAACAAACAATAGAAATAATACTTTTATCCTATCTAGATTATCACGGTTCAGCATATGTATATAGCTTAGGTGTGTTAAAGAAAAAATATCCATACTGTACTGTGTTTTAGGCACAAGTCTCCTGCAAATAATTTTACTTAACATTCTATTTCCAAGCCATTTTTAGCTTGGCATAGTTTCCCTATATCAGCTCTGATAGGACTCTACCCCAGGATGATTTGAGGTGACATTTGTAGGAATTTCGAACAAGGAAAGGATCTCCAATTGAAAGATGAAGAAAACAGAAACTGATGTTTGTGTCTTGCCCAGGTTAAATGCCTGGTAAATGCCTAAGGTGAGATTCAGACTCAGGCCTTCCTGATTCCCAAGTCTAGAGCTCTATCCACTTTGCTGCTGTTATCAGTATGAGGTAATTTCAGGTGTACAAACTTATTATCAGTATGAGGTAATTTCAGGTGTACAAACTATATACAAAAGAAGTATCTCGGAAATTAATTTTATTCACCAAATGAGCTTGACTCAGGATTAAAATACCTAATCTTAACACTGGTGGAGTACTAACAAGTCTATGTTCACTGTTTGCAGCCTTTTTAAATCTAGAGACCTCTTGTGCAGCCCTGATCCTTGGGGTACCGTATCTTCTCACTCTTTTATTCTACTTCTACCCTTCATTTAGTTTCCAATTTGTAGTTTCTCTTCTGGTCTCTTGGGCAAGTATAGAAGTAAGGTCCTTTCTGTTTTTCCTCTTCTTTCTTGACTGTCATAAGCATCTTCACCTAGTCCTTTGACTTAAAAGTCTCAGATACTTGTAATGCCAAATTTTCCTCCTTGTGCCATGGATTTATTTTCTTAGTTGCTTTCTTGGATATTACTTAGTGTTCCGTAGATCCAGATCTCATTCTTAGGTGCCTTCTTATTATTTAGATAGGATTTTAAGTCTTTTTGTTGAATTTTTAGAATTTGACATTATTGTAGTGATAGACTAGACAGGCTTAGCCTAAGGGACTTTCCCTAATGCTTGCCTCAGTTAAAAACACTGACTTTTAATATGTGTACTTGGCTTTTTAGCTGCATTCTGTTTCTTTGAATATCAGTTGAAATTCCAGGTGCATTAATTTCATAGGCTTGTCTTTGAATTTATTCCATTAGAATTAAAATATGATTAATTTTTAAAAACAAAAATATACCTTAGTAATGTATAATTATACATTTATTTGAACATACCCTTGAATATCCTAACTTGGAAATTTGCCTTAATCTCAAAATGTCATCTGAATTTTAATCTAGAAGTTTTTATTAAAACAGGCAGATTTAAGTACAGATAGAAAATGATGTGAGATTCAATGTCTAATATTAATTTGTCAGCTATCAATATGTAATTGTTTTAAAATAGTTTTTGCTGTGTTCATTAGAAGTTTTATCTGAAATTTTGAGAAGCAGTGTGGTGTAGTGGATAGAAAGCTGGCATAGGAGTCAGGAAAACCCTCTTGCCTTGTTTTAAGGCTTGCCTCTGATGTACAATGGTGGTGGGACTCTGGTCAAGTTACTTTAACTCTCAGGGCTTTAGTTAGCTTTCTGAGACTCTTAAGTTACAGAGATGGTCATGCCTAGAGGGCATGATAGAGGGAATTTTTTCTACCAATAAAATGACAAGCCTGCTCCTTATCTCTTATCAGAAATTTAGAATAATACCAAATTGTACATCCCTTTACTACATTAGTGAGCCTATACCTATTTCTGATTTCCTGCAGTATTCCCCTGAGCTACTGCTTTACATAATTCTCAGTAGATATATTAGATCATGAGAAAAGCTCAGTTTGTTATAAAGCTTTAGAGAATAACAGTGCAATTATTTGTGTGTGTTGGGGTGGGGGGGAGACAGAAGTGAGATGTTGCTCAGAAAAGAATTTTCAATGTTTTCTTGCTGATGTTTAGGCAGACGCTAGCAAGTAACTTCTCTAAACCAAATGTTCTCTTTCTACTATCATGAGAGCTTTTAAAAGTTATAGAGAAAGGACTAGAGTGAAGGGAATTTTAGTTCCAGTGCTGAAGCATATTGGACCTGTTTGTTGATATTTGCTTCTTTCAATACTTGATTGATTTGTGCAACTGATAAGTGTTTTTGTAGTTTCCTCATGGTCCTGTCCAAATGACCAAGTCAATCAGTAGTTCAAAGCAACAACAACACAGAAATGTTTTCTTTTAAAAAAGAAAAAGTTCTGATAGAATGTAGCAACAATATTAATATATGAGATTTTCAAAATTCTGTTGTCTCTGCTAATAATACATTCTTAAATTAATGCTTTTTCTTAGTGTAATCTGAATTATATGTCAATGTATATTAATGATCTTTAGAAAGTTTCCTTTTATTTTGTTAGGCTTACCATAGCAGCACTGGGAGAAAAGCTTAATGATTACTGGAATGAAATGAAAGTGAAGAAAAATGCAGAATGTCCTCTGAATTTGCTTGTTGAAGATATACAGTAAGTATATGCAGTGAAAACACCAAAAGTATACTTTATAATATATGAACTGGAATTTTTCATAATACATATTATTTAGAAATAAACAACTTGATATTGTTTATTCATTCAGTCATATTAGACTCTTCATGACCCCATGAACCATACCAGCATATCCTCCACTATCTCCCAAAGTCTGTCCAAGCTCATGTTCATTGCTTCCATGGCACTATTTCATCTTCCTTTGTCCCCTTCTTTTGTTTTCAATTTTTCCCAGCATCAGGGACTTTTCCAAAGAGTTGCATCGTCTCATTATCTGACCAAAGTATTCAAGCTTCAGCTTCAGTATTTGTCCTTCCAATGAGTAGTCTTAATTAATTTCTTTAAGTTTTGACTGATTTCGATATTAACCATCTGGTGATGTCCATGTGTACAGCTGTCTTTTGGATTGTTGAAAGAGAGTGTTTGCTACGATCAGTGAGTTAACTTGACACAATATTCATGTCTTCCCTGCTTCATTTTGTGTTCCCACGCCAAATTTGTTATTCTAGTTATCTTTTGATTTCCTATTTTAGCATTTCAATCCCCTATGATGAGTATGACATCTTTTTTTTTGATGTAATTTCTATAAGATATAGGTCTTCACACAACTGATCAGCTCTGGCCTATTTGGCATCAGTGGTTGGAGCGTAGACTTGTACCACTGTGATGCTGAGCAGTTTGCCTTGGATTCAAACATAATCATTCTGTCCTTTTTGTAAAAACGGTACCCTAGTACTGTTTTTCTCTTGCTTTTATTTCTTCAAAGGAATTCTTGCCCACAGCAGGATGTGTAAGATCACCTGAATTAAATTCACCCATTCTTGCCCATTTAAGTTCATTGACACCCATGATGTCAATGTGTAAATCTTTTCATCTCCTGTTTGACCACATCCAACTTACCTCATTTCATAGATCTTACATTCCATGTTCCTATGCAATGTTGGTCTTTATAGCATCTGCAGCTGAGTTTCCTTTTGGTTTTGGCCCAGCTGCTTAATTCTTTTTTGAAGCTACATGTAGTTATCTTCTGTTCTTCCCCAGTAACATGTTGGACATCTTCCAACCTGAAGGGCTTATCTTCTGGTATCATATCTTTTATCATTTTCATACTGACCATGGGGTTTTCTTGGCAAAGATACTAGAGTGATTTGCCATTTCCTTCTACAGTGGATCACCTTTTGTCAGAATATACCATTATGACCCATCCATTTTGGGTAACCCTGCACAATGTAGCTCATAGTTTCATTGAGCTATGCAAGCCCATCCACCACGGTAAGAAATGATCTAGGAGAGAAAACATTGATAAACATCTTATAATCTATAGAAACAAATTTGAACCAGTCTTTATTAGTACATAACCTTTTTTTGATATACATCAGTTTCTTTTGTTGTTCAGTCAATTTAATCATGTCTGACTCTTTGTGACCCTATTTGGGGTTTTCTTGGCAAAGATACTGGAGTGGTTTGCCATTTCCTTGTCTCAAATTGGTTTCTAATTAGTTTCTACCTTTAAGTAATTTCCTGTGTAATTTGCAGATGTTGCAGATAATAACTTCTCAGTTGTTATTCAGCATTAGGTTTTGAGATTTGGCTAGATTTTTCCAGACTTAGGTGAAATTTGATCTGTACCAGTAATAACTGAAATTTATATATTGTTTGCAAAGTACATTAATTTTCTCTGTGGTCATTACAAAAATCCTGTGATGTAGGCAATAACAGAGGCTTAGATGTTGTCACTTATCTATAGTCACATTGTTAGTAACTGGCAGATGGAATCTGAATTCTAATCTCTTTTGCCTCCAGATCCATTGCTTTTTCTATTGTTACTGCTGCCTTTGGAGAGACTTTGAAACTTTGGAATATCTTGTTATCTGAAAGTAATCTAAACTTGTTCTTATCGTGGGTTTAGTTTGTTCTATTCATTCATTCATTCATTTATTTTGGTGAGGCATTTGGGTTTAAGTGACTTGCCCAAAGTCACACAGCTAGTGAGTGTTGTGTGTCTGAGGCCAGATTTGAACTCAGGTCCTCCTGCCTCCAGGGCTGGTCTTCTATCCACTGTGCCACTGAGCTGCCCCTGTTTTATCTTTTTTTATTAAAATATGTGTTAACTCTTATTAATACTACATTGTTTCAGTGGGAGGGAAGCAATACAATGAAGTGTTTAGAGAACTAGCCTTGCCACCAGGAAGATGACCTGTATTTACGTCCTGTCTCTGACACATACTGACTCTGTGAACCTTTTCAGTACTCTGAGCAATTCTCTAAGACAAGCTTGGGGAATCTGAGGCCTCTAGGCCACATGTGCCCTTCTAGGTGCTTGGGTATGGCCTTCTGACTGAGTCCAAGTTTTACAGAGCAAATCCTTTTATTAAGGGGATTTGTTCTGTGAAGTTTGGATTCAGTCAAAGGGCCGCACTTGAGGACCTAGAGGGCCACATGTGGCCTCAAGACTGAAGGTTTCCCACCCTTGCTCTAAGACAGTAAGTTGCAGAGAAGGTACCAACCTGCATTGGTAGAGAGAATTTTTTCGTCATTCTGATGAGGTTGGAATCTGAGGCCCAGAAAGGAAAAACTCTGGCCCCCAGATCACTTCCCACCCTTGGTCCCACCTAGGCTCCATTTCCCACCCTTGGGAATTCTGTTACCTCATGGACTACTTGGCCACTCCTAGATCCTTCCCACAGTCTTTCTGTATATAAGGTCCATCTTGTCTCCATTAAGATGCCCAGATTTTCACAATCTAGCCAATGGCCCACAGATGCTCAGATTCCTTAAGAATCTAGCTAATATGGCAAATCTTCAATAAACTTTGTTTTTGGCTGTAAGCAGGCTTGGGTCGAATTCTTTTGGGCAGGACCCGGATATTGTGATTTTGGGATTCCAGGACCCCTAACCTCTAGACCGCACCAGTTCTCTTTATTCTCTACCAATGAAATCAGAGATCCAGTATGTACTGTATCACTGGATCTTTATGTAATGTATATGTATGTAATGTAGTGTAACTAGTCCTTTCAGAGTGGAGATTCTAGCCCATACAAACCTTTTCCAGTGTAATTTTTTTCTTAGAATGCCATAAAATCTCATTTTGAGAGGGGAAAGTTGAGGTCCCCCACTAGAATAGTTGTGCTATCTTTTTCCTCCTGTACTTCATTTAACTTTTCTTTTAAGAGTATGGATGTTCTACCATTTGAGATAATCTCAACATAACTAACTCATTCCTGTGCCCTCTGTTGAAATAGTGATTGTTGAGAGGCTAATCAGAAGAGCAAGACCCCAATGCTCAGTAGAGCATGGTCTGTGGCAGAGGTGGCGCCAAAGAGGAATGAATGAAACTGTGGGCAGAACAATTTTAGAGGCAAAGATCTCTAGGGTGGTAAAAATAATCAGGAGGGAGAAACATGGGAATAAAAGGTAAATAAGAAAGAGAATGTTAGAATTAGGCAGGGTAACTTCTAAAGGAAGGACTCCCTATTCAACAAACACTGCTAGGAAAAAAAAGTTGGGTTGAAAGTTTTAGATCTTAAGTTTAAAAGTTTTAAAAGTTTAGCATCTTACAATGTGCTACAGTATCAGCTTTATAAACCACCTTTATGTAAAAGTTCATATTTAAAACTAGCAGAGAATGGAAAGAGTGAAATTCATGGAGATCACAAAAGACAAAATTGACAATTTTGTTAATATCAAATTATAAAAGCATTTCTGAAAACAAGACCAGTGTACCTAGAATATGAAGAAAAACTGATGATTAAGAAGAAAAAATTCACAATTGATATCTCTACACATCAATAAAAATGTAAATTCCTGTCTTGCCTTTTGAGACAAAAAAGTGTTTTCTTTTAAGCTTTATTATTGCCTTTTTTAAAACTAAGTTTTATTATTGTCATTTTTTTTTTTTTTACAAACCGTTTTCCCTTAACTATGTCCCATAAAGTATTGTAGAAGGGAGAGCAGGTTAAGGGAGGCAGTGGTCAGAAGCAGAACAGACTTGTCAGGAGGTACAGGGTTAAAAGACAGACTGAAGGATAAACAGAATAAAGGAGGATGGAGGGAGATACACAGTAATTTTAACTATGAATGGGATGAACTCACTCATCAAACAAAAGGAAATAGCCAAATAGATTAGAAATAAACCAGAATCCAACAATACATTGTTTACTAGAAACACATTTGAAATTGAAAGGCAGTCAGAGGATTAAAGTAGGGGCCTGGAGCAGAATGTATTTATTATGCATCAGGTAAAGTAAAAAAGGTTGGGCTAGCAGGCAATCATGATGTCAGTACAAAAGAAGAAATAAACCTAATTAAAAGAGATAATAAGGAAAACTTCATTTTGCTAATAGGTACCATAGACAAAGATGTAATATCAAAAATTTTTACAGCAGATTTCTCTACTAAAGGCCTCATTTCTCAAATACTTAGGGAACCAAACCAAATTTATAAAAATAAGAGCCATTCCCCCATTGATAAATGGTTAAAGGATATGAACAGGCATTTCTCAGAAGAACTCAAAGTTACATGAAGAAATGTTCTAAGTCACAACTGATTAGAGAAATGCAAATTAAAACAACTCTGAGGCACTACCTTATATCTAAAAGGACAAATGCTGATGGGCATGTAGATAAATAGGTACAGGGATGCATTGTAACTGGAGTTGTGAGCTGGTCCAGCCATTCTGGAGAACAATTTGGAACTACCACGAAAGGGCTTATCAGACTGTATATACCATTTAACCCAGTAATACCACTACTAGATCTGAGATCCTAAAGATACCGAAGATAAAGGAAAAGGACCAATATGTAAAAAAAAATAATTATAGCAGCTCTCTGTAGTAGCAAAGAACTAGAAATTGAGGGAGTGCTCATCAAGTGGGGAATGGCTGAACAAGTTATGATATATGATTGTGTTGGAGTGCTACTGTGCTATAAGAAACAATGATGGGGTAATGGTTTCAGAAAAAACCTGGGGAAACATATGAACTGATGCAAAGTGAAGTGAGCAGAACCAGGAGAACATGTTTATAGTAACAGCAATATCATAATGGTGGTTAACCATGAAAGACTTAGTTATTCTATTAACACAGTGATCCAGGACAATCCATGTACAGAGAGAGAACTGATGAACTCTAGGTGCAAATTGAAGTTTGATTTTTTAAAAACTTATTATCCTTGCTCCTTTTTTTTCTACGTGGCTAATACAGAAATATGTTTGCATTATTTTACATCTATAATTGCTATCAAATTGCTTTCCTTTTCAGTGAATGGTGGAGGGGTGAGAGGGAGAGAATTTGCAACTGAAAATTAAACAAAAATTGAAAAATAATAAATTAAATGAAAGTATACATGCCTATGTGTATATGTATGTATATATACACACACACATATATTTACTTAATATATTTCTTTTTTTAAAATTGCACTTGTTAAAAAAGCACATAATATTTAAAACAAGTTGACATTACTTAAAGCTAGCTTAGGTTGTACTGTTTCTGTTTCTCCAAATTCCCTCAGATCTGATAGGATTTGAGAAACATGCTGGCTTTGCTTTTGTATTCAGCTGCTGTGTGTACACTAAAATAAAAAGTCAATTAGAGTAAAATCATAAACAAACAAAAAACCTAGCAAGGATGCCAATGTTACTGGATCAATAAATAAGTGATGGGGACTAAAGTGAAAGGAGACTTTTAGAAAGGTAGATGGGGGTCCGTTATAAAGGGCTTTGAATGCCAAACAGAGCATTTTGTATTTGTTCCTTGAGGTAATAGGAAGCTGGCAGAGTTTATTGAAGGGGGGAGGAGGGGGTGTCAAACCTCTATTTAGGAAAATCACTTTAGTAGCTAAATGGAGTAGGATGGCGCTGAGTGAGGAGAGATTTGAGGCAGGCTGATCCTCAAACAGGTCATTGCACCTGTCCAGGTTTGAGGTGAAGAACACCTGCAAAGGAGTGGTGGCAGTGTCAGGAGAGCTATTGCAAAGTGAAATCGACGTGCCTTGGCAACAGATTCAGTAAGGAGGGGGTAGAGATAGTGAGAAGTTTAAGATAACACCTCCGTTTTGAGCCTGAGGGTCGGGGAGGATGAATTTGCCCTCCATAGCAATAGGGAAATTAGGAGGAGAGGAAGTATTGGGGGAGAAAGATTTGGAGAAAAAGTCCAGTTTTGCCCACGTTGAGTTTAAGATGTCTCCTGTACATCATGTTTGAGGTGTCTGAAAAGCAGTCATAGAGGCAGAAGAGAAGAAAGCACAGACAGAACTCTGTGAGACACCTGTGGTTAGAGGACATGATGTAGATGAGGATCCAGCGAAGGAGTCTATCTGAAGGTAGGAGGACAACCAAGAGAGAGTGGTGGGTGTCCTGAGATTTGAAAAAAAGGTAATTGGATTTGGCAGTTGAGAGATCATTGATAACTTTGTCTCATGAAATGATTTTATTGCCTTTGAGGCACAGTATGAAACTAACTCCTAATTTTCTTATTTACCTCTTCAAAAAAAAAATTAGTGAGCTAACTTTTCATTAACCTGTAACTAATCCTTTTCTAGAATGTTAGTACTGATGTGGTTCATATCTTCCAGAAATATATCAATTTGTTGGTCACTGGACAAAAGTGTCTCATATTTAACCTAAAGGTACTTTAATGTTTATAGGTGTTCTAAAAATGGTTATTCTTTGACTGCTTTTCTGCTTTTCCTCCTACCACTTTGGGCATAAAGAGGAGGATATGCAGTGTAAGGACTGTTTTCTGCTTTTATTTACTTGCTATGTCTCAATGATTCATCACCTAGTAGTCATCTTAGTGGTAATGACCCTTTTCATACTTAGTTATGGTGTTAATATGACACCAGATGGAGTCTTTTTACTGAACTGTATTTTGAATCTCTTCAGTTTTTCAGACCTTTCACCTAACTGACTTGTTCTAAAATTGATGAGTTAAAATTTGGGGAAATTTCTAAGAGAACAGCACTGTTTTGTGAGGAAAATTAAAATGTAAAGGTAGCTATTACCAGGTAGCCAAATTCTCATACCAAGATTTTGTGTTCTCTTACAGGAAACAGCCTGACCAGACATGGGTTCAGTGTGATTCCTGCCTAAAATGGCGAAAACTACCAGATGGAATAGATCAACTTCCTGAAAAATGGTATTGCTCTATGAACCCTGACCCACAGTTCAGGTAGAGTTAGTTTGTAGACTTTATTTTGTAATGGAGAGGAACATATGTGAGAAGGTGCTACTGACATTTTTGCCATATGCTTTTTTAAATAGGAATTGCCTTGTACCAGAAGAACCTGAAGATGATGATTTGGTGCATCCCACATATGAAAAAACCTACAAAAAAAAGTAAGTAGTATACCAGTGCCTTGATAACAAAGAAATGTAAATGCCTATCCTGGCTACTAGCAGTCTTAGTTTATGACCTGTTACATGAAAAACACTGAACTTGAAAATTTGGTATTTAGATTAATCTAAGTTGTCCCATGTCTACTGAAAGTACTATTCTAAGCAAAAAAAAAAAATTGATAAAGAATCTATTTCTTTTGGTCTTTTCCGTGGCTGATGGTGTCAGCTAAGCTTTAAGGCATAGAACTGTGGCAGCAGCTTCCTGTGCTAGTTATTTCTTAGAGTTGTTAAAGGATTTCCTGTCTACTGTAACTCTTAGAAGCTGCTACATAATATGACATGGTTTTGACTTCTTGCACTTGAAAATGTGTGTGTGTGTATACACGTACACACTGCTGTCAGTAATTTAGACATGCTTTAAATCATTTTTTTTTACACTATTCTCCTTAGATGCATTAATTTGACAAAATCATACATTTTCTAGAGTTGAGAGGGACTCAGGTAGCCATCTAGTTGGAATCAATTCTTGCTGTAATATATGCTACAAATAGTCATAGTCATCTAGCCTTTGCTTGAAGATCTCCTGTAAGGGAGAATTTTGAGTCTCCTAAGGCAATCCTTTCCACTTTTGGGTAGCTCTAATTTTTAGGAAGATGTTTCTTGGCATTAAGTCTAAACTTGACCCTTTGTAAATTTTACCCATTGCTTCTGAGTCTTTCCTTTAGGGCAATCATAACAAGTCTAATGATGGATCTCTTTTCCATAATTGTCCTTTAGATATTTGAAGGCAGCCCTCATGTTCCTCTTGAGTCTGTTCTTTTCTATCATAAATGTAACCCAGTTCCTTAAATTAATCTTTATATGATGGATTCTGGGCACTTCACCACCCTTGGTGCTTTGCTCTGAATGTTCTTCAGTTTCTTAATATGCTTCTTAAACTGTGCCTTGCATTGAACACGGCGTTCCATTTGTCATCTGACAAGGGCACAGTACAATGGGACTGTCACCCCTCTATTGTAAACTATGCATGTCAGTGTAGCCCAAGATCACATTAGCTTTTTTGGCTACCATGTAACACTGCTGACATGTGTCACACTTGTTGTCTATTCAAACAAGTAGATATTTTCAACTGCTTTCTCACCATACCTCATGGACTTAGCAAGTTGATTTTTTTCAACTAAGCTTGTAAGACTTTACATTAGTTTCAGTTGAATTTTATCTTAGAATTCAGTGTGCTAGCTATCCTTTTCAGTGTTGTGTTATCTGCAAATCATTTTCTCCTTAAAAAATTTTTTTTTCCATTTAAAAAACATTTATTGTTTATCTTCACTGAAACAAAATTTAAAAAAAAATACAAAAACCTTACGACAAGTTGTCTTATTGGCAGTATCCAAAAATATATTCTTCGTTCTGCATTCTGAGTCTGTCATCTTTCTCTTAAGAGGTGGATAGCATGCTTCGTGGATAGTGGCCCTCTGGAATAATGGTGGGCCACTGCATTGATCAGAGTTGTTAATTTTTTCAAAGTTTGCTTTGCAATGTTGTTGTTACTGTATAAATTGTTCTCCTTTGTTCGTTCCTTTCACTCCATATCAATTCATATGGATTCTCCCACTGACAAAAATTTTAATTAAAATAACCCCAAGCACAGATCCACTAGGGACTTCCTACCATGTTATCATTGAACTATAAACAACTGTTCTTTGATTTCTTCTTTTCAATCATTTCTGAATCCATCTTACTTTATTATTGTTTCATCCACATTTATCTTTTCCATAAAAACAACATGAAAGGGGCAGCTAGATGGCGCAGTGGAGAGAGCACCATCCATGAAGTCAGGAGGACCTGAGTTCAAATGCAGCCTCAGACCAAACACTTGACACTTACTAGCTGTGTGACCTTGGGCAAGTCACTTAACCCCAATTGCCTAAAAAAAAAAAA